CACCACCACCACCATCACCACCAACACCATCATCACCATCACCACCATCACCACCATCACCACCAACACCATCATCACCATCACCACCATCACCACCATCACCACCACCACCATCACCACCGCCACCATGATCACAGCCACTCCTATCACCATACGATTACCGGCGCTGTTGTCAGCATCACCACCGTCACTGCCACTGTTGTCACTGCCATCGTCATCACCACGGGTGCTGTTTAGAAAGTGCCTGACACTGTCAGGAGTTTTACATACACTGCCTCGTTTTCTTTAACAACCCTACAAGGCAGATGTTTGTGTCCCCATGTTACTGAAGAGGAGCCAGGGCAGCTGGAAGCAACCCAGCGATGGGCACTGTGTTCTACTCTGCATTTGCCACACACAGGCGCCTCTGGCCCCCAACTGGGCTCCAGCACAGGGTGGTCTGTCCTTGCTCGGGGTCTGGGCTCAGAGCAGCACTGGACTTGGGTGGAATCAGTGCCTTGGGCAGGCCCCTGTTCTGGGAATGCCTGGGTGCTGATGCTGGTGTGGGGCTGTGGTCCTTAGGGGGAGATGTGTCAGCTGTGGGAGGACCCATGACTGGCTCCCCAGCTGTGCGCACGCCAGGCCCTTCATCGGTGCCCACAGGTACTCCTTCCAGGATGAGGAGGACATGTTCATGGTCGTGGACCTGCTTCTGGGCGGAGACCTACGCTACCACCTGCAGCAGAATGTGCAGTTCTCCGAGGACACAGTGAGGCTATACATCTGTGAGATGGCGCTGGCCCTGGACTACCTGCGCGGCCAGCACATCATCCACAGGTGGGTGCGTGGTGGATGGCGGGTGTGGCTGCTGCAGCCTTGGGTCAGGCCGCTGGCGGGGGGTCCACACTCCCACAGAGCCGCCCAGCCCCTCTGCCCCACCCTTGCCTGAGAGCCTGCCCCCAGCTGTGGCACCCCTGCCGACCAAGTCAGTCCCATAGCTGCAAGCTGGGTGTCCGTCTAGGGGGCCTGGTCCAAGCAGCCGCAGCTGAGACTGGACACAGAGGGCCGTTAGCCCTGGTGGACAGACCACGGGCCGGGTCACAGCAGGTGGCGTTCACCTGGTCTGTTTAACTGAAGGCTCCCGCTTGCCTGTCCGCCATGTCCCGGGGAATCCAAACTAATTTTAACATGAGCTTGAAGCAGATGAAATTAGGAAGCAGAGCTGGTGTGATGGCTCTGAAAGTAAAACTTAAAAAAAGAAAATAGGAAGCAGATTATGAAGGAAGTGGAATCGGGAAGCAGGAGTTAGGCTGAAATTCTGCAGCTATGGAATAGGTAGGAGATACCTATGGGGTGCATTTTGAAGTCGAATAGAGTGCGGCCTCATTTCTGCTTGTGAGGACTCTGATGTCTGCTCGTGACCCGGGCCCCAGTCACTGAGCGGGGCTGTGTGCCTGGAAATCAGAGTACACTGACAGCTGAGGCAGCTTGGTCCCCAGGAGGCCAGGCTGTGGGAGAAGGGCAGGCCCTGCCAGCAATTCCTCTTGTACTCTGGGGCTCCAGGCCCCCGCCCAGTGTCTGGTGCCAGGTCTGTGCTGCTGTCCAGATGCCACAGGGAATGAAGTGGCTGGCTAACTCTGCCCCCACCCAGGGGTGTGAGGTCCTAGCATTGTCTAAGGACCAAGTCAGGCTCCCAGGCCCCTGCCTCAAGCGGGTGGATGGAGTGTCCTGGGGACTCCAGGAATTGTGGCGGGGATTCCAGGGCAGAAACTGCAGACTTCCCAACTCGCCTTCCCACTTTCTGCCCTTTCTAGAGATGTCAAGCCTGACAACATTCTCCTGGATGAGAGAGGTGGGTGGGGCCGGCTTTGTGAGGCCCAGGTGGGTGGGGGCCGGGTGTGTAAAGCCCAATCTGGGTGCTGGCAGGGATGCAGCGGTAGGGAAAGGGGGGTCCTGCCCACAAGGACGCATCTCTGGTCCTGGGACAGTCACACCTGCCCCCTGTCCGCACAGGACACGCGCACCTGACCGACTTCAACATCGCCACCATCATCAAGGACGGGGAGCGGGCGACAGCGTTAGCGGGCACCAAGCCGTACATGGGTGAGCCCGAGCTGGGGTTCTTGGTGGGAGCTGGCTTTCTCCAGGTGTGAAGGACAGGCCTCAGCGGCTTCTCCGTCCCATGCTGGAGGCGGCCTGGTCTCCGGGTGTGGCCGCAGGGTGCCAGCTCTGTGCGCACGGGTCTGGGCTGTGACCCTGCGGCAGCTCAGCTGTTCCTTCTTTCTGTCGGAAAGCTCCAGAGATCTTCCACTCTTTTGTCAATGGCGGGACCGGCTACTCCTTCGAGGTGGACTGGTGGTCGGTGGGGGTGATGGCGTACGAGCTGCTGCGAGGATGGGTATGGACCCCCGGCAGCCCACGGGCTTGGCCACCGCCACCAGCAGGTGGCCTGAACGCCAGGGAGGGAGGTGGCCGCCCCAGTGTCCCGGCACTCAGGGATGTCTCTGCTCTGCCTGAGGAGTCACGCTTTTAGCCAAGTGCAGTCGGTGGTGGGATGCCTGAGCCGGGGGAGGAAGGACAGACTCAAGGCGGTTTCCTGGGGCATTGTGGGGGCCTGCAGGCTGGCCTCTGTGTGGGTGGACAGGGCTGAGAACTGGCCAGCAAGGGTGCTGCCATGGAACTTTCTGCAAAAAGTTTCTTGTGGGTCCCTGTGCTCTCACCGTTGGTGGCCACAGCAAGGCCAGTCCTGGAGACCAGGAGGCTGGGGGCCCTCTTGCAGACCACACCTCTCAGCCCTGCGTGGGACCCTACCCCTGAGGAAGCCGGCTCTCTCCTGGCCCTCTGGTCTGCCTGGACCTGGGATCCCAGCCAGATGAGCACACCAGCCATGGCGCAGGACCCAGGCGCAAGCTTTACCCCCAGGCTCCCCCACGGCAGGCGGAGGCCAGGCTATGCTCAGAACTGTGCCTGCACTTGGGGTGGGCGGAGGGGGGCCTCTTAGGGCACTGGCACCTGTGCCTGGCATTATTCTGGGTGTCCTGGGAGCCAGGAGGACCTGCCCAGCGCTGCCTCCCTGTTCTCCAGAGGCCCTACGACATCCACTCCAGCAACGCCGTGGAGTCCCTGGTGCAGCTGTTCAGTACCGTGAGTGTCCAGTATGTCCCCACGTGGTCCAAGGAGATGGTGGCCTTGCTGCGGAAGGTGAGCCCCATGCCTGAGCCTCTTCGCCCACTGAGCACCCACCTCCCTCCCGCATTCACCTGCAGCTCGGGGCACCCGCCCCCTGGCGGCACAGGTCCCTTCACTGCAACGTGCGGGGGCCTCGCAGATGGCAGCCCCGAGCCCTGGGAAGCAAACCCTGCCAGGTCATGATCTGGTGATCCCTGAGCTGTGTCCCCAGGGACCCTTACAGCAGGTCCGTGTGCCTGCCCTGCTGGTCACCACAGAGGAGCCATTGCCAGTCCCCATGCCCTACCTGTTGGAAGGAGGGAATGGGCTGGGCGTGTTCAAGCCCATGCTGTCTCTGGGACCCTTTACCCCAGTGCCTCCTGGGGAAGGCAGGCAGCCACTGCCCACTGCAAATGCCTCTCAGGGGACATCAGCCCGGCAGGGACCTGGGCAGGGGTGTGGCCATCAGCGGTGCCTCCCATTTGTGGTTGGGGACTGGGCTGGGGCTGTGCATTGACTGGGGAGCATAGCTCCCCATTCAGAGCCTCACTTTAACACCATGGAGGATTTGGAGTCAGAGCCAAACCCGGGCAGGACAGGGAGGGGAGGGGGCCCGGCTCCCGGCTCCCATCTTCAGGCATGTGGGGCCTCCTGCTCTGGGATTGTAGCGAAGTAGCCTCAAGCCCTGGGGAGGCCTGGCCTGTGGGGGCCTCTCCCCAGCCCAGAGACAACCTCCAACCCCACTCTAGCCCCATGAAGCTCGGCCACACCTGCCCAGGTGGTTCACAAGGTGGCACTGGGCTAGAGAAGGCCTGTGTGGGGACTGGGGATGACGCACCAGCCCAAGCCCGCCAGGGAAAGCCCGCACGGGCTCCGGGTCTGCAGCGTTTGCCCTGGAAAGACAGCAGGTGTCAGCGCTGGGATGCTGCTTCCCTGGCCACGCATGGCTGCCCTGGACCCCGAGTCCTGCAGAGGCCCCCTGTGGTGAAGGAAATGGCTGTGGAGTCGTTACCGTGGGGCCAGCCACGTGCAGAGTGTTTGCCGCTCGCCAGGCCTCGGCTGCCACCTCCTGGCAAATCCTGGCAGAGCCTTCCCTGCGGGCCCTCTGCTGCCCTCCAGCACCAGGGGTTTGGGCAGCACCACTCAGGTCGGGCGCCCCTCGGGCCACATGCTGAGCTGATCACGGCACTGTGCCTGACGTCGGCACCGCCCTTCCTCGCGTGGCCCTGAGGTTCCTGAATTCCGAGCCTCAGGCCTGGCAGAACCCTCCCCAGGGTGCCCTGTCCTGGGGTGGTGGGCTGTTCCGTGCTGGTGGGTGATGGGCCCAGGGTCCAGCCAGGCTGCTGCGGGGGCTGCGGGCTGTGGGCCCCGGGCGCCCTGATGCAGGCCTGGTTGCAGCTCCTCACTGTGAACCCTGAGCACCGGTTCTCCAGCCTCCGGGAGGTGCAGGCAGCCCCAGCGCTGGCCGGCGTGCGGTGGGACCACCTGAGTGAGAAGACGGTGGAGCCGGGCTTTGTGCCCAACGTAAGCCTGTGGGCGGCGCGGGTGGGGACCCTGGGGCTGGACGCGGGCGGCACCCACGGGCCGGGCTCAGCACCCATCCCTCTGTAGAAAGGCCGTCTGCACTGCGACCCAACCTTCGAGCTGGAGGAGATGATCCTGGAGTCCAGGCCCCTGCACAAGAAGAAGAAGCGCCTGGCCAAGAACAAGTCCCGGGACAGCAGCAGGGACAGCTCCCAGTCCGTAAGCGCGGGCGGCTGGGGCGCCGTGGGGTGCTGGGTCGGGCTTCTCTCCACCACCACGGGCAAGGCGTGTAGGGACCCCTGGCAGGCCACACATCCCGGAAGTCCAGCACACCGTTTTCCAGAAGCCACGAGAAGGCCAAAACCTCCCTTCTGCCTTTCCCAGCCCCCACCTCCTCGTGAAGCATGCGTGCAGGGACAGCCAGGGGTGGGGTTGTGAGTGTGCAGGGACAGCCACGTGACGCCCTCACGCTCACCCAGATGTGTTGTTGATCGTGTGTGGGGGGACGGCCACGTGAAGCCCTCACGCTTACCCAGATGTGTTGTTGATCGTGTGTGGGGGGATGGCCACGCGAAGCCCTTATACTTGCTCAGGTGCGCTGGCGTCAGTTGTGTGCCGGGGACGGCCGCGTGAAGCCCTCACGATTGCTTGGGTGTGCTGGCCTCAGTTGTGTGACTGGGGACGGCCACGTGAAGCCCGCATGCTCGCCTGGGTGTGCTGGCCTCAGTTGTGTGACTGGGGATGGCCACGTGAAGCCCTCACGCTTGCTTGGGTGTGCTGGCCTCAGTTGTGTGACTGGGGACGGCCACGTGAAGCCCGCATGCTCGCCTGGGTGTGCTGGCCTCAGTTGTGTGACTCTGGGGACGGCCATGTGAAGCCCTCATGCTCGCCTGGGTGTGGTGGTCTCGGTTGTGTGACTGGAGACGGCCACGTAAAGCCCTCATGTTCACCCAGGCGTGCTGGCCTCGGTTGTGTGTCCATGGGGACGGCCACGTGAAGCCTTCACACTCACCCGGGTGCGCCAGTGTTGGTTGTGTGTGCGGGGACACCATGTAAAGCCCTGATATTTGCCCAGGTGTGCCAGCATCAGTTGTGTGCAGGGACGGCCACATGAAGCCCTCACGCTCGCCTGGGTGTGCTAGTATTCTGAGGCTGCCAGAACAGGTGACCACGAATCAGGTGGGTGAAGAACAGGAATGCGTCGTGTCTGAGACGGGTCTGAGTGGTAACGACACGGCCTGGTGCACAGCTGGCTCTGCGGTAACTGCTCCGTCTCCTGCCGTTCCCTTGTCCTGATGATCGGCTCTGTCTAGGCAGCGGACAAGGTGAACCTGTTGGGCGGCCATGTTATGATCTCATAGTTTCTGTAAACTGGAAGTCCAGGCATGGGTAGCTGTGTTCTCTGCTCTTGGGTCTCACCAGAGTGTGAGCCAGCATTGACTGAGGTCATGGTCTCATTGAGGATTTGATAGCTGCTGTGGTTGGAACATTTCCCCGAAACCCATGTTGACATTTGGTTCCTTTTGTAGCGGTGTTAGGGGCTTTCGGGGGACGATGGGGCCAGGTGGGTTCTTCCCGCCTGGATGGGGTCAGTGCTGTTGTGAAAGGGTGACCTCAGCCTCCTTTGCGTCTTTGCTCCTCTGCCACATGAGGAGGGAGTGTCCCGGTGTGGATGTGGTTCATGTTCCGTGTGGACACAGTATTCACAGTAGAGCATCAACGGGCTCCCTTTAAATCAGCAGATTGAAAAAGAGATAAAAAGAAACGTGTTGTCTCACCGTTTGGAGGCCCGAGTCCAAAGTGAGGGTGTCAGCAAAGCTGTGCTCCCTTTGAAGACTCCGGGAAAGGAAGCCAGTCCTTGCCCCCAGCCTCAGGCAGAGGCTGCCTTGGCCAAGCCACGTCCCTGCAGCCCTGCTTCTGCCACCGCATGGGGGCTGCCTGTGGTGTGCCTGCGCCTCCTCCCCCCTTCTTACGAGGATACCAAGCACTGGATTTGGGCCACCCTGACCCAATATGGCCCCATCTTATCTTGATGATATCTGCAAGACCTCACTTCCAAATAAGGTCACATTCAACAGGTACCCAGGATCAGGACTTGAATGTGTTGTTTTGGGCCCATACCACCAGGATGCGGCTGATACTCACCAAGGAGGAGCCACGGTTATGTGTTGATGCTGGGGTGACAGCGATGCTTTGGGTCCCTTGCTGGTCCCTCTGCCCCCGGGCCTGCCCAAGCCTGTGCTGGATGCCCTGGGACTCTCATGCCCCAGCCCTGTGCAGCCGCCTCTGACCTGGCAGGCCCTGTATTGCTCCTGGGCAGAAGATGGGTGTCAGTCCCCTCCTCACCGTGATATGGGGGGCAGGGGTGGGGTTATCCCCTGGGGCCCTCATTTTAGGGGAACACAGGCCCCCCAGTGGGTCAGGCTCCCATCCTCGCCCCGCCTCCAGGACCGTAGCCGGCAACCCCAGGTGTCCTCAGGTGGAAGTGCAGGTGGGGAGCTGTCGCCTGCCAGGTGCTGCTGGGTGAGGTGCTGCTGAGAGCCACAGGATGGTGGGGAGGTTCTTGGGGGATTCTTTGGCATTCCCACCATTGGGTATTTAAGTTTCCCTACCAGAGCATGTCTGGAGCCAGGGCTTGGGGCTGTAGAAACAGGCCCAGGAGGAGGTCGGAGCCATGTGCAGAGCCCGGCTGGCCATGTTGCGTTCCCGGGAGGCTCTGGGTAGGAATGGGTGAGGCCAGGCACCTGTGAACTGGAGGAGCTTGGCTTTGTCTGGGTTGGTTATGGGGAGATGTTCTCGCTGGAGGGTGGGAGGTGTTCCGAAAGGCACCCATCACTCCAAAAACATGTCCCACTGTTAACCCTGAGGCTGAGAGAGGTTTTTTGAAACAGCGTTATTTTGATATAATTCACATTCCATACAATATACAAGGCAGCCACGTGGATAAAGCATATATTTGTGTGGTTTTTAATATAGTCACAGGGCTGTGCATCCTCCACTGCCATCCGAATTGAGAATCTGTTCATCTGCTGTAAGAGAAAGACCCACCGATGAGCAGTCACGGCCCTTTCCCCTCTCCTTTCTGCCCCTGGCAGCCACGAAGTTGCTCTGCGTCTCTTGAGGTTTGTCTGTTGTGGACGTTGTGTGTAAGTGCAGTCACACATGACGTGGTCATTTGTGGCTGGCTTCCTCACTGTGTGGGGTGCATCTGAGGCTCATCCACGCTGTGGCCGGTCAGATGGCTGAGTAATATTCCACATGTACATCACCCTGCATTTATCCCATCATCAGTTGATGAGTATTTGTTTTTTCCACTTGTTAATATTTTTCATTATAATCAATAATGCTGCTGTGAATATTCACGTACAAGTCTTTGTGTGGATATGTACTTTTATTTTTGGGGGCAGACACCTAGGTGTGAACCCTCTGGGTCACATGTGACTCTGGGCGTCATGTGTGGAGGAAACGCCTGCCCTTTTCTGCACCAGCTGTGCCATTTTGTGCCCCTGCCAGCAGTGTGTGAGTTCTAATTTCTCCTTATACTCGCCAAGTCTTGTTATCGTCTCGTTTGTTTTTTAAATTATAGGCATCTTAGGCTGGGCGCAGTGGCTCAAGCCTATAATCCCAGCGCTTTTGGAGGCCAAGGCAGGTGAATCGTGAAGTCAAGATTCATAGTGAGTCCTGTCTCTACTAAAAATACAAAAATTAGCTGGGCATGGTGGTGGGCACCTGTATTCCCAGCTACTTGGGAGGCTGAGGCAGGAGAATTGCTTGAACCCGGGAGCTGGAGGTTGCAGTGAGCCGAGGTCGCACCACTGCACTCCAGGCTGGCGACAGAATGAGGCTCCATCTAAAAACTAAAAGTTATTGGCATCTCAGTGTACAGTGATTTTGTGATTATGATTTGCCTTTTCTAATGATATTGAACATCTTTTGAGGCATTTTATCGGGAATTGTGTGTGTCTAGGGAAATGTCTATCCGCATTTAAAAAAAATTTTTTTGTCTTTTTTTAGTCTACTCTTGACAATATATTTTAATTGGCGTGTCTTATTTTACTTCCTTTTTTTCTTGCTTGCTTTATTACCACAACCGGAATGCAGTGGTACGATGATGGCTCACTTCAGCCCTGACTTCTTGGGCCCAAGTGACCCTTCCTGCCTCAGCTGCCACAATAACTGGAACTGTAGGCGTGTACCACCACAGCGGGCTCATTTTGTAGAGACAAGGACTCACTATGTTGCCCAGGCTGGTCTCAAACTCCTGGAGTCCTCCCTCCTCAGCCTCCCAAAATGCTGGGATTACAGATGCCTGACCTAATTGGTGTATTTTAGACCATTCACATTTAAAGTGACCGTGGAGGCCGAGGCAGGAGGCTGCCTAAATCCAGGAGTTAGAGACCAGCCCAGGCAACAAGGTGAGAACCCATGTGTATTAGTCCATTTTCATGCTGCTAATAAAGGCATACCTGAGACTGGGTAACGTACACAGTAAAAAGGTTGAATGGACTTACAGTTCCACATGGCTGGGGAGGCCTCACAATCATGGTGGAAGGCAAGGAGGAGCAAGCCATGTCTTACAAGGATGGCAGCAGGCAGAGAGAGAGCTTGTGCAGGGCAACTTTCATTTTTAAACCCATCATATCTCATGAGACTCATTCACTATCATGAGAACAGCGCAGGAAAGACCCGCCCCCATAATTCAATCACCTCCCACCAGGTTCCTCCCACAACACGTGGGAACTGTGGGAGTCACAATTCAAGCTGAAATCTGGGTGGGGACACAGCCAAACCATATCACCAACTCTATAAAACACTTGAAAAATTATCCAGGTGTCGTGGTGCATGCCCGTAGTCCCAGAGACTTGGGAGGCTGAGGTGAGAGCATTGCTTGAGCCCAGGAGTTTGACACCAGGCTGGGCAACACGGCAAGACCCTGTCTCTATAAAAAATTTGAAAATGAGCCGGGTGTGGTGGGACACATCTGTGATACCAGCCACACAGGAGGCTGCAGTGGTAGGATTGATCACGTGAGCCCAGGAGTTCAAAGCTGCTGTGAGCTATGATCGTGCCCTTGCCCTCCAGCCTGGGCAAGAGAGAGACGTGCTGTCTTATAAATAAGTCGTCACTGATACGGTTCAACATGACACCTACCATGTTTGTAACTGTCGTCTATTGGTTGGATGTGTTGCTTTCCCTTCTCCCTATTTTTCTGCCTTTTC